TTTTGTTTAGTTATTTACTACTCTTATGTAGTTAATAGCTATATAAAAATAGTCACCGAAACTTTGAAAACAAAAGTAGTCAATAGTTAAACTAGAGTAGTTAATAGCTATATGAAAGTAGTCACCGAGAATAAGAACAATATTTTTTTTTGGTACATAAGAACAATATTGTCACTTCACTATTTTAAAATTTCAAAATAGTACCTCGGGTCTAATTTAAAATTTTAAAATTCACCTACTCTTATTTATTTTTTAATATTTTTGAGGGTATTTTAGTTTTTTTTTTATAAATAAATTGAGACCGAAATAAACTATGGGAAGTAGTGAGATCCTCGATGTCACACGCCTGTCACATTGTAAAAATTAATTTGGATGGCCCATTTGCTATTTCTCGCTAAAACTAACGGACTGTATTTCACCCCAAAAACGAAAAGGGGACTATAATTTATATGGTCATGGCGACGTCACCGACCGATGCCACCATGCAATTGCTCTTGCACCAACCTCACATTGTTACGCTTAAATAATGAAATCACACCTATTCAGACTCTTAACCATAATCAATTATAAAATAAGAAATATCATTATTTCACGGTCGACCAATTTTATATTATCAGTATATTTTAAAAAAATTATCATTAACTTCAATATGAAAACTTCATGTTTAGCACAACAGAAGGCACTGCACAAATAACTCAACGATTTTATTGCATAAAAAATATAGATTATATAAATATTTGTTTTCCCATCAATATCAACATGTAATGTAAAATGCATAACAAGCTGTTCAAAACGCACTTTCTTTGTCAAATTCCATTTAAAATATGGGGCTTGTGAGCAGCAGCAAAATAGTAAATGGAGGGGGATACATTTCTATAGCATAAATTAAATGAAAAGAAAATATTTTTGAAATAAAAAGATATCACATATAAATTAATAAAAAAATTTGAAAAACCCAATATACATTACTCTTTTCACAACTAGACTAGTGGAACGTATTGCACATAGCTCAAAGGGAACTATAATATTTTCCCCTGGTAAAGTTATTGTCGTTGCATTAGCATATCACATTTTTTCCCCTTATTTAATGTACTATCAGATATTAAATGTAATGTCCCTCTTAGCGGGGTTCAAATTTTGATTCGTTGCCCTTCCTTTCATTAAATCTAATCTCTGTTAGTGGAACAATATTCTACTTATTCTTGAATATTTGACGCGATTCATGCACTTACAGAATTACAAGTTTCATATCAATCATACAGTTAGGCCAACACACAATCAACAGGCCAGTGCCCAAAGTTCAAGTTTTCCTTTTCTTCTTTATTTTTGCCAGGAAAAACAAAATCAAGTCTTCAGTAATTCTAATTACTACCTTTAATCTTTAATACAAGAACTAGTTGACTAATTTGAGTATATTAAAAAATTAGTTAAGTTAGTTATTTGTAATAAATATGTGTTGTTTTTCTTAAAATATCTTTGTTAATCAAGTATATTGATTGGAACTTTTATTATCATAAGGACAATCTTGAGAAAAATATATAGATATAAAAAAACAAAATAGATTGAGATCTTATATTTAAGATCAAAATAAAAATTATACAAAATTTTATATTAAGAATAAACAATGAAAAAGTGCTTTAAATATGATACAAAACTCTCAGCTACCCGTCTCTTGACAACATTACTTCTGGGGTCTTAACTATCAATTTCTCATGAGGACCATCTTGTAAATTAAGATTTTATATTTAAAATTAAAATAAAAATTACACAAACTTTTATATTAAGAATCAAATAGCATAAACAATGAAAACGCTCTATAAATATGATACAAAACTCTCAGCTACCCGTCTCTTGACAACATTGCTTCTGGGTCCCAACTATCAATTTCTCACAACCAATTTTACCTGCAAAATTCAACTCCCCCCCCCCCCACCGTTCCACAGAGTGGTAGTTCAACTACTCCTTATAGTCATCATAAATTCACACGTATCGATAAAAATCGTTAAAATTATTAAATTTGTTATAAAATTCAATTTATTTTTAATATTATCCTTATTAACTATTACCTCCAATCTTATTTATAAAACCTCATTTGTAGACTACAAATAAAGTCTTATAATTACAACCAGAAGTCATATATTCAATTCCGACATCATATTACTCCCTCCGTTCCTTATTATAAGAGACAAATAACCGAAGTACATTGATAAAAAAAAAGTTAAAATTAGTTAAGAACAATTATTGTGTAAAAAGTATTATTTTTTTTCAAAAATGCCCTCATTAATAAGGAGAGAGAGCATGAGAGAGAACAATTAAATTATTAAAAGAAAGAGAAATGGGAGAGAGGAAGAGTGTGAGTTGGAGATAATAAATATAAGTAAAATAGGAAATCAACACAAAAAAGTAGAGACAACTTTTAAGTGTCTCTTATATATAGAAACATGTCATAAGCATCAAATGTCTCTTATAATAAGAAACGGATGGAGTAATTTTTACTCTCTCTCACTACTCTTATTAAATATAAATATATACGGAGAAAAAATTTAATGCTAATTGAAATTATCACAAGGCCTTATGAAAAGGATGAACTTTTTTTCCTCTAGAAGATGTCTTGTACTCTTTCCGTCCCTTTTTATAAACAATATTAAACTCCATTACATAGATTAAAAAGTTAGTTAAAAACAATAAATAAATAGAAATTAGAAGTTTTTTCCCTTGAATATATTTATTTTGGGGGGGGAGAAGAGTATAAGAAAGACGATAAGAAATTATTATAAAAAAGAGAATTATGAAAAGAAAAAAATGTGTGATAGAGAAAGGTAATAGTTTGAAAAATGAGATAATAAATATATCGAGTCCTAAAATAAGTAATTAACAGGATAAGATAAGAAATTTGCTATAAAAATTTAAGACAACTTGTAGATATTATTTATATCTAAAATAAAGAGAGGAATGGTAGTTATTACTTATAAACTGAAGACTAGGGAGTGATAAGGAGGAGAGAGAGAGAGTAGCTCCTAATGAATTTATTATGCCTCTTGTCCTCACGCACCGCGTCATTCCTATTTATACTTCGTCCTCATTTTTCAATTCCTAACATTCTACATTGTGTCTCTTTTATTTCTTGATTCCTTTCTGCTTCACAGAATTCCATGGCTACGGCTGGAAAACTTGAGGTAGAAGTGCAGGTGAAGTCTCCTGCAGACAAGTTCTGGGCAACCATTAGGGATGTAACTATCTTCCCCAAGGCCTGCCCTCAGGACTACAAGAGCATTGAGATTCTTGAGGGTGATGGCAAGTCTGCTGGTTCTGTCCACCTCGTCACTTATGGTGAAGGTAACATGAACTTACATTCTCCTCTTGTTAATGTAGTCATCCTGTTTGTTCATTGGTCTCTGAGAAAATCATGCTTCAAACAGCAAAACCTTCATTTCCCTATCGGTGCTAAAGTAAACCCTAGTCACAGGAAGGATTATTCTTATCTGTGTTTATCTTTGGTGAGTATCACATCTAGCTATCATGTAAGCCTTGTTTGAGTCTACATAAAAGGAGTATAGATCCAACATTATTATTGGACTTAGTCTTCATCATGCAAGTCTTCATCATGCAGGTTTTAATAGTGATCAGTAGGCCTTTTGCCCAAAATGGTTGAAGCTTTCCTTAACTCTTTTATAGCCTTCTAACTTCTCTTCTGCCACCAACGTGGGACATTTCCGACACATACATGCGCAATTTGCATCTTAAACCTTCTTTTTTTTTTGGATGGATTATGTTTATGTTTCAGGATCCTCACTTGTCAAGACATCAAAAGAGAAAATTGAAACTCTTGATGATGCTAAGAAGACACTGTCCTATAGTGTCGTTGGAGGAGACTTGCTGACGTACTTCAAGCTTTTCAAGGCACACATGAGTTTAGAAGCCAAGGGGGAAGGGAGCCTGGTGAAGTGGTGGTGTGAGTATGAGAAGGCAAGCGATGAAGTTCCCGATCCAGATATGGTCAAGGACTTTGCAATCAAGAACTTCCAAGAGGTGGATGCCTATATTCAGAAGGCATAGAGAGGGTAGATATGCCTTTGAAGGACTATTAGATGGATTGATAAATAATGTGGCTGTGCCACTTCCATTTGATGCTATCTTGGACTTGGTTAAAATCACAGGACATGGCTTTCTTCATGCTTCTGTATTGTATTGATGAATTGATTCTCCTGTTTGGTGCCTTTTATCCCATTATTGATGAGTTTCAGAATAATAACAATGTTGCAAATGAGTAATGTCTAAGAGCAAGTTTGTGTTACTTCTTCAATCCTAAATATAAGACTCGGAGGAAATATATTTGAAAAATGGATACACAAACATATACTAAGTCAAGTCAATAGTTGAGATTTGATAATATATATTTAAACTGCTTGATAAGTCGCTTATATATAGCAATGAAAATGACAATATACTAATAGTAATTAAATTATGATTATAACCCTAATAACTCATACGATATGTTAAATGAGTTGCGCTGTTCATATGAATGATATGATTTCTTATATAGTTTATTCCATAAATATGTAACAATACTTCTTTAAAAATTCCACTTATGACAAAATAACTAGTAATTATAAATAAAGATGTACAAAAATGACAAGAACAAGAACAAAAAGACGGAGGGGGAAAAAACAAAAGCAGAGCAAATGAAACATCACAAGTTCAATCTAATTATAATTGGCCGGCTCTTCCATTTTTATTTTTATTTTCCTTCTCTCTTAATATTGTCTGCTTCATTCACTCTTTTCGTGCAAACACATCACAAGTTCGTTGATCAAACACTCTGTTCATTTTCTCACTGGGTCCATTAATATGTTACTGCTTTAACACTGTTTCTCTTGATTCTTTTTTTTTTTAAAAAAAAAGAAAAATTACAAGTATTCTCATCCAGGTTTTTCTTCCCATTCAATTAAAAGAATTTTCCACTAAATATACCGCCATGATCAAGTGGGTCAGTTTTTTTGTTTGGACAAAAGAACTTCATATGAACACTTAGATCTAAAACTTCAAAATATTTACATGTTACAGCAAATGAAACCTCAAAGACAATCCCTTTGCGCATATATACACAGACAGACAGACACACACACACACACAGAGCTCCAATTACAAGGGAACAGAGGGGAAGCTTCTGGATAATAATTGACTTCCTCTAGCGTTCTGAAGCTTTGTTTATACTTGCATTTCCTTATTTTCTTTTAACAGAGGAGCTTTCTTGTCCAAGGAATCTGAGCTCTCGTCACAACCAATTTTGTCTTCATCTTCCTTGATTTGTCCCCACATGACACTATAATACCCTATTCCAGTTATAGTTGTTCCTACAACACTGAAAACACATATTTTAGTACCAATATAAAAATAGCATTGAACATGAACATATATTGATATACATACGTACAAATGTAGAATATAATATATTAAATGAGAAAAATCTAAGGTACCTTCCAAAATGAAGGCTATTAGGAAAGAAAGTGACCCCAAATATAGTTGCATAGGCAATTCCAAAGGGTTTGAATATTTGAAAATAAAATGGACCCTTCAAGCGTGTGAACCAGACTTGGACGGTGGGACGAATCACACCCCCAAATAAAGCCTATATAATGATTTTAATATGCCATACAATCAGATTCCTGGTCAGTATGTGTTGGCCTGTCATTATGAAAGAGTTTCTGAATCTAAATGATAAATAAACTAATGCTTACAGTCAACACAACGAGAATAAGCTCCATCTTATGCTTCAGCTTCCATGCATCTGAGTCTCTCTCAACCATTATCGATACAATTGCACTTGAGATTGTCCCAAGGAAGTTATAGTAGCAGATCACCTTCATTGGTTCTGGGTAGAGTTTAACAGTTCCCTTCTGAAGCAAAGAACGAAGTTTGATCATGCAGAACCAGAAATCAAGATATGCAGATGAAAACAGGTACAGTAGTTGAAACTTGAAAGGTGCATTCCTATGAGTTTCTTGGAAAAGGATTCGCACCTGCATAAAGTTCCAAAGTGAAACTGAGAAAGAAGCAGCAGCAAGCAAGAGTCCACCAAGAACCCAGAACTCTGGGGTTGAGGAGAAGATGAAAAAGTGCTGAGCATGGCGAAGTTGGTGAGAAGAGGGCCTTATGAGTGGGCCCTTGAAGAACTCAGCTAGAGCTGCTCCCATTATTGATATCAGAGTGCCCATCACTTGGAATAACGTAGCAGAGCTTCTAAAGTTTAAATTTTTCTTCCTTAAATAGTATCAATTAAGTCGAATCAGGAAGATTATCATCAGAAAATAAAAAGGAGCACCAGAAAATGAGTGTTAGAAACATGCAAAAGCCACCTGAGAAAGAGAGAGAGGAGGAAATTGAAGGAGGGGATCAAAAGACCCATCGCACATACGAGTATCGGTGAACTATAGCCAAGACCCAGGAATGAGAATGTCTGAGACAAAGTTATCCTGCAAAACCCATCAATGGCGGGGGGGAGAAAAACAAGAGAAAGATGATAAATATTCATTTCAGAGCATATTCAAATGGAACAGTATTGATTCTTAAAACTGGGAAAGAGAATATACCCTGTAATTCCCAGGAACAAGAATCTCATAAACATGGAAAAAGAAAAAGGTGGCAGCACAGATCTGTCATTAGAGTGTATTAGATAGGAAAAGAGGAAGAGTATTAAAGTGGCCAGAGAATTGGTATATACAATGAACACAAAAGGACTCATTCCATTAGTTAATGCACTTTTGGCGAAAATAGTTAGTCCAATAGTGCATCCTTCCATGATCACCATCACTATAAATGGCATCACTTCCCATGTCTGAGTCTTAGCCTCCATTAATCTTCTGTTTCTTTTGCTGACAAGTTATATGTCAGTGATAGAAACTGAACAGAAGTCTTCTCTTATAATAGCCAGAGAGACTTCTGAGGCTGAGAATCTATACCCTATGATTCTGCGAGAAACCTGATTGATTCTGTGTGTTTGATGATTCTCGTCAAGATATAAAAACAGAGGGATGAAAAGAAGATTCATGAGGAATTGGGATAACCCTTCACAAAGTGGGGAAGCTACTCTTAAGAGAAGCAGCTACTCGAGTGTCCCTAGATATTAAACAAGGGATCAAAAGCTGACGTCTGAACTAGTTTTTTTGCTTTTAAATCATCAAATATTGATCACACATGTCGTGAACGTATTTCCCGCTTAGGTTTACTTATAATTTTGGGTTTTTGTTATCTTTCTTTTATAGTCAGGTTCCAAGAAATTTAGTGGTGATGTATTTAAAATATATGCCACACCGTGGCCTATTCAGACGTTGTTTTATGAATCTAAGTGACCCCACAGAAAAACAAATGATTAATTGTGGAAGGGTTTTCTGATATGAGGGAGAATGCTTTCGTGGTAGGCATTAACAGAGGGCCTACCTTGAAATGATTAGTTTAACATATCAATGGAGCTCACTCTTTTTAGTTGGCGTGTAATGAAGAAGCACTTTAATTAAAATATTTTTTTTCAAGATATATGAAGCGTCTATCATGCTTCTTGTGTCATTTAATTAAAATATCAGAGTCTGTGATTTTCAAATTGAATCACCCTTATCGGGATTAATTTTGTAAGATTTGTTTAGAGGTTGAACTGTAGCAAATTAGCAATTGTGCCAGTACTAATTGAGTTGAGGCTGAAGACTCACAAATTGAGGTGATTGGAAGGGATTTGGTTTCACATAATTTTATAAAATGCTTCACTGCAACGTATCCAAGGAGAAATCTATTACTACCTCCGGTCCTAATTATAAGACCCAGTTGACTAATTTGAGGAGATTAAGAAAGTAAGTTAAGTTAGTTATTTGTAACAAATAAGTGTTGTCGTTCCTAAAATATCCTTGCTAATTAAGCGTGTTGGTTAGAACTATAATTATTAGAAGGACTATCTTGGGAAAAAATACATAAATATGAGAGACAAAATGGATTGGGGTTTTATAATTAGGACCAAACTAAAAGTCAAACGGGGTCTTATATTAAGGACCGGAGGTAGTATAAGTAAGATAAAAATATGAAAACAATATCTAAGCTTTTCATCTTGGTAAAATGAATATTTGAACTTTGGAGACATCCAATTATCCAAACACAATCCCCTGGCTGCTTTTGATCCTCAGCAATTTGAAACTTGAGACGTCCCAAGCATATTAATGTGACTAAGTTGTGAATTTCCATTCTCCTTGTATTTCCTGATATAGGAGATTAGATTCCCCCCAAGATTACAATCTCTAATACTTAATATAAAAATTCACTTAACATTTAATTTGGTCTTAAATAATAAGATTACAATTTACCTTGTTTCTCATGTTTATCTAATTTTTTTTAAAATAGTTCTTATAATAGTTATACATGTTAAAAGTTTTATTAAATTATAATTCTAGCTATGATTAGAAATGAAATGCTAAGAAACACAACACTTAATTATTATAAATAACTATCTTAACAAATTTTTTTAATTTATTCAAATTAATTAATTAACTCTTATATTAAGGATTAGGAGTGATATTCTTTAGCTTTTGTAGTTTGTATCATTAGAGTTATTAGTCACTGAAATTTCTTTTTTTTTTTTTTTTGAGCAAACATTAGTCACTGAAACTTAAAACTGTACGTTAACGGAGTTAAATTTCTTTGGTGGAGCAAACAACTGGATGATATTCTCCTTTTGCCTCCTTCCACCGCAACGCCATCTCTCTCCTCTCTCGTTCGCTCATTCATTTTCTCCTTCCCCACCACCAACACTGAGAATTTAGTTTGGATATGAATGGAAGAATTTTCTTGATTCGACCTGCTCCATTGAAGCAATCCCCATTCAAAAGTCTTGCTGAGTCACTCAAACAATAAATTTAAGATGATATAAAATGAAGTTGATAATTTTATAATGCTGTTTTAACAAAGCATATCCATTCACTATTACATTCATACAGGCATGCTCCTCCGGTTCTAGATATAAGACATAAGGGTTTTATATTTAGTACCGGAGGAGTATTGATTTGGAATGAAAATGAAAACTTGGCACAGCGAGCAGCTGCTCTGTTCTCGGTATTGAAAGACCAAATTTCTTCATGTCCAGATCTTTTGGGGTCATCTCCGGCGGAAGCTCCCGCCGGAGACAATTGATCAACTGAGCGACCACCAGCTTCACCGTGCACAGCTCCAACTGCATCTCTGGACACCCTCTCCGACCAGTCCCGAACGGCATGGACATCAGACTATCTCGTCCTCGAAAATCTACCTCCGTCTCCAAAAACCTCTCCGACCGAAACTCCTCCGCCTTAGGATTTCGTCCCAATGCCCGCATGTTCACTATGATCAGAGAAGTCGAATTTAAGGATGGCTTTTAATGTTGGGGAAGGAACGGTGAGCCATTTTAATGGTGGGGAAGGAGAAGATGCAGGAACAAGTGAACGAGAGAGGAGAGAGATGGCGTTAGGGTGGAAGGAGGCAGAAGGAAAATATTCTAGCTGCGTGCTTTCTAACGAAAATTTAACCGTCAGTTCTCATCAAGGGCAAAAAGTTAGGGAATTCAATATTGGGGGGGTGGGGGTGGGACAAATCAAGGGCCTAATTCAAAATCGAAAGAAATTCGAAGATCTCCACATTAATTTGCCCCTGATAATTTATAGGTTTTCTCAGAGGTTGCGTCCGCCTTTCCCCAAGATTTAAATTCTATTAAAATAAAATATGCGGAGCAATATTAGAGTAACGAAAAAAAATAATTAAAAAACGTCCATGGTTTGCTTTTTTTTTTTTTTTTTGCCAACGTCCATGGTTTGCTTTTTATCAAGTATGAACTGTCCACCAAAGGATAATAAGCGCATTCAATTACAACATGCACGTAACGATATTATAATAGACCAAAAGTACTAGATAATAAAATAAGAGACTCAGTTATACAACTTAATATTATTTTATTATCAGATGGACTTCATTTTGTTTGATTTAATTTTTTTTTTTATTAGACAGCAAATATTTAAGAAATTTTTCTACCTCCATTTTCTTTTCATTTTAAATTTAGACACATCACCACTAACGAAAAGTCACTCAACCATCATGAATCTCTATCAAGATACTAAAGGCAAAAACTAGAACCCTGTTAAGTGCTAACAAATAACATCATACTTTTAAATGGAGAGTGCTATACTTGGTGAAAGATTTGGTAAATAAATCATATTTACAACTTACAAGCTTGAAGTTGAAACCAGAAATTATGTTTCAAATGTCCCAGTCCTGGCACCAATGCATGAGTAAATAGCTCTAGAGCTTACTCTTCACTCTGTGCAGAGCAATACTACATTAGAACATCCCACTTTTTCGTGTGGCAATATGAATTTGAATAAATCCAAAGCCTCTTCTATATCCCTTAAGCTGCTTATTTTACTTTAAAAGAGGAGTGTTTTCGCCACTTGATTCTGAACTTCTCACGCCAGCATCGTCAATATCTCTGGCTTTGCCCCATAACACAGAATAGAACCCAACAACTATTACAATAGCACCAACCAAACTGCATTGGAATTCAAAAAATACTGTCTTAGAGACAATATCCTCAGCAACACAACCAAACACCAGGAAAATATTTTCTACACACACACACGCACACAGAGAGAGAGAGAGCCTACCTTCCAAGATAGAATGAATCTCCAAGGAAGATGACACCTGCAATCACTGAGATAACAATGCCCAAGGGCTTGAACATAGAGACAAAAACAGGTCCTGTCTGGTGGAGGCACCATATAGTAACACCAACTTGAAATGCAGAACCAAAAACCCCCTGCAACATGTTCACGAGGTTTAAGGCTTTTTAAAGGGAATGAGTCAGTTATCATTGCTAGTAACATTTAGAGTCATTTATAGTTAAATTACCGAGTATAAAACTGCAAGCAATCTCAACATGGGCTGTAAGCTCCATGCACTTGCATCTCTTTCCAGAAACAAGCAGGTTGCGCCGGATAGAATGGCCACAAAGAAACAATAAAAGAATACTATAATCAACTCTGCCGGATATTTCTTTACAATTTTAGCCTGCAAAATCATAAATTGTGGTTAAGAGTTTTTAGAAACCACTGATCATGAAAACTTCATTAATCCATAATGATTTTACCTGCATGATGATGTATGCTGAAGCCATCACACAATCTGCCGCAAGAAATAGTCCTCCAAGCATGAAATTAGACTCTTGCGAGAAAAGTTGCAGTCGAGAGGAGCTTGCAGGAGATGGCCTAGCCAGAAGTGGAGGGCCTTTGTATAGAGTTGCAACAAATGCACCAGCAATTGATACTACGGTTCCTAGTGATTTAGCAACGCTACTATAGCTTCTCCAATCTAACCTCTCCATCCTGAAACCACCAAGTTCAATCAGTTCAGTTTAGCTAAATGAATTGCTTTAAATGACTGATTGAAAACACAACTATATCATCCTTTGCTCTACAATTGATTTTAAGCGCATATTGGACTATATGATTTCTGAAGCTATTTTGCTGTGCGTGCTTATATATGTAACTTGAAAACCAGCGAAGCTCATTTTTATCTTATAAGCAATTGAATAAAGGGCTGTTACAGTACACTTCTCTTCAAAAAAGTTTCTGTCTGAACAACAACTATGTTATTCAAACTCATTTCAAAAGCAAGGCAAGCTTTCAAGAAGATTCAACGAATTTTGTGCGTAGTAGCCACAAGGTGGCCACTAGTATAAGTAATTTATTAGCAAGCCTTGCAAAACTGTACACGGGCTTGCAGTCTATGCAAGTTGTGAGTGTCAACATATAAGAGTAACAAATTACCCCAGTGAAAGTGGCAGGAGTGTAAAACCATATATCATAACTGATTAACGCAAGAGAATCATTTATCCTATGAGAAAAATATAGAAAATGATGCTGCATTATTTAGATGATAAACCAGTGGACAATAGCGAATTGGCATGCCTTAATCAAAAGACAAGCACAACCATTTTAGAGATCTTTAAAATCCACATTTTGCTATTTTCAACAGCCATGAACCTTGTCAGTTCACCAGCGCACACAAGATCAATATGGTCCTATTTTCTCATGCCTCGGTTTGAGGCAGCATGCATCAGCTAGGAATAACAATATAAAAACAGCAATAAAAAATACAAAACCAGAATTTTCAAAAGCATGAAGGAGACGACTAACCCAAAAGCAACAGCAAGGATGAATGTAAAACCAGGGACAAGGTTGAGCAAGGCCGAGCTGAGCGTAGCAGAGCTGTAGTAAATCCCAGCATACCCAAATACCTGCGCCAAATAGCTGGGACCAAAAAGAAATACTGGTTTCAGAGCCCACAAAATGACATGCCTCAGAAATTAGAAATCAAAACTGCGACCAAAATTTACCACATTTGAAGTTCGATATTCATATGGAATAAAGCTGGAATCAAATTACCCGAGCAACCCGAGTGAGAAGAAACCACAGAGAGTAGAAATTGTGATTGGGGGACGCTCAGATCTGCTGAAAATAAGAATCAAAATTTACCACATGTGAAGTCTTGAAATAGTGAGGTTCAATTCTGCAATATCCAATATAACAAACATGATGGGTATGAGAAGAAAGAAAAGGTACCTGTGGAGGAGCAAGGAAGAAGGAAGCAGAAGGAGGGCAGCGAGGGAGTTGGAGAAGAAGACGAAAACAAGGCTGCTCATACCTTGAGACATGACTATTTTGCTGACAATGATTAAGCCAACCTGCGCACACTCCGCCATCACCATTCCCAGAAATGGCAGAACGACCATCCCCATTCTCGTTAACTCTGAGTCGTAATGGAACCAGAACTCAATTCCGGGATGTGGTTCATTCCAAAGGCTTGTGAAACTTGCAAGTCAACTTCCCATCCATCATCCCTATCTTCCTTGCCTACCCTTATCGTCCAGATTCAGACGACGACCGCTGCGCTCTATAACTGTCGTGTTCGTATTGCAGTTTGATTACCCCTCATGTAAACTTAAATAAATAGATATACATATATTACGTTAACATTAATATTCAAGAATTAGATGTGATCATGTGAGGATGAGAATCTCTGGATAACTGGATCCTTTGAATTTGAAATATCTTCATTTTTTTAAATTCTAATTAAATAGAGAGAGAAAATAAATTATAAATTCTTTAAAATTTTGTGAAGAGATCATGAGTGTTTCTTTAAGTTCTTTAATTTCATAAATAAAAAAAACGTGAGAAGGAGGTTTTCCTACCGTTTTGGCATGTTTTCTAGCAAAGTTTGTGTGGCAGCAAACTGTGATATTTTAATAATCATGGGGGTGTTTGGGATTGTACAAAAGAAAACACTTTTTTGTAAAACGAGACAAACTCCTCCACATATTTATTTCGTATACCATAAAAGCACTTTTAAAATTATAGTTTGGTTTCTATCCAAACACCCTTATAGTGTGCCATACGTCTGAATGTTTTTCTTATGCATGTACAGTCAGCAAGTATGATGCATTTTTTAATATTAAAACTTGTTAAATCATTGAATTGATAATTTTGAATAAAACTTAGAAAATTAAATTAATTGCTAATGATCTTATAGCCTAATCACATGAGAATTTCTTTGTAAGAGAGATGTCACAGATAAAAGACTAATTATAACTTGAAGTCTTGAACTATACAAACCAACAAAAAAAGAAGAAGAAGAAGTTGCGCGTATGCTAACTATACCTCCATTAATGATGAAAAATATAATAACAGTTCATATTGATATTTCACTTTCACACGCACTGGTTCTGTAGAAGAGGCACTGCATTAGAAGAAGAAGACACAGAGCTACAGATTACTTTTGTCTGAAAAGCCATCTTTTCCTGTTGAGCCTGACCCCATAAAACGCCATAAAACCCAATAGTTATCACTCCACCCCCTATCACGCTGCGTCATCAAAAGGAAATTAAATACAAAAATAGATCAGTTATCCATCATCATTTTATAATTACGCTGTAAATCATGAAAAATTATCCGCTAGCGGAATAAGGCTTGTTATCCGCGGCACTAACAAGTCTAAAAAATATTCATCTTTTTTTACCAATTTGATTTGTCAATGCAATTCGATTCGTAAATATATTCAAGTTTGGCTAATAAACATAAATCGGTCAATTTCACTTTTGAATGACGCAATTCAATTTATAAATATAATTTTTTAAAGCATATATATACATACATATATATATAATTTTGATACCTAAAACTCTTCACACGTACCTGCCAAGAGAGAGAGATTCGCCGAGAAACACAAGTCCCATGGCCAGTGCGATGACCATTCCTAAAGGAATAAACATGGCCACGTACACGGGTCCCTTCTTTCCGCATGCCCATATATTTGTCAAGCTTCTCATTGATACCACAATAATCCCCTATATATGTACACATATATTATATATCACTAATTGATCAGTACTATATGCGATACTCCTTCGTCACATCAAAAACAGATGCTAATTGGGATTCTTGATAGAAGAGTTTTAGAGTTAGATTTTATCCTAAGCATGACATATCAATTCACTTAGTCTCTTATATTTTTTTTTCCTAACCTGATTTACCAAACCTATAAATCGATATATAATCTAATAATGTTAAACAAAAGTATTTTAGAGACACCACGTCATACTACTTCCGATCCTTAATATAAAAGCTAGTTAACTAATTTGAGTAGATTAACACTATGTTTGGTACGAGATTTTCAAAGGGGAGGAGAGGGAAGTTGCTCTCTTTCCCTTGTTTGGCTGGTGCAATTTTTTAGGAGGGGAGGGGAGTTGGTTAAGATATTTTTTAAAGAGGGGAGGGGCTCTTCTCCCCTCATCTTCCCTTCTAGCTTTCCCTCCAAAAGTGGGGTTTTTTGGAGGAGAAATAAAAGATAATATTTTAATTCCTCATATACCCTTTTGATTTGTTAACCCTTAATCAGTCGTAAATATTTCTACATAAGAGAGTTCTTTTGAGCATCTAGCAAAAGGTTGTTGAGATGATTGTCTCCAAAATTACTAAGCATTTATAAACCTTTTTTTCTCTCCTCTCCTTCTAACTCCAAGAAGCCGTCAGTATTTTCTTTCACCTTCAATGTCTTTTCTCTGATTGAAATCTATCACTCATGACTTTTTATCTTGATATTCTATTAGTGTGTGACTATGTCTTGTAAATCAAAATTAGTGAATTACATTATATATATATATATAGTTATATCTTAACAAAATAAAAAAGTGAGAAAATTCATTTAAATTTTATGAGGTTAAAATAGTCAATTTTCTATTAGAACAAAATAAGGTATTATTAAAATTCCTCCCTCCCCTCCAATCAATCCAAACAGAAGATCATTAAAATCCCCTCCCTCCCCTCCCCTCCCTCCCTCCCCTCCCCTCCCCTTTGTAACTACCCTCCCTTTCCTCCCCTCTCTTCCCTTGATTAAAATCCCTCTCCTCCTTTTCCCTCCATCAAGCCAAACACAGCGTAAGAAAACTCGCTAAATTATATTATGTTCGGTATGGGAGTTTTGAAAGGGAGGGGAGGGAAGCTGCTTCCCTCCCTTCGTTTGGCTAGTACATTTTTTAAGAAAGGGAGGGGAGTTACTTCCCTCTTTTTGTTTGGTTGGGATATTTTTTAAAGAGGGGAGGAGTTCTTCTCCCCCTTTTTTTTCCTTCTAGTCTCCTCTTTAAAAGTAGGGTTTTTGAGAGAGGAGATGAGAAATAAAATTTTAAGTTTTAAAATTACCCTAATTAAAATAATTTAATTCCTCATATTCCCTTTTAATTTGTTAACTCCTAATTAGTTATAAACATTTTCTATGCAAAAGAGTTCCCTTAAATATCTACTAAGAAGCCGTTGAGATAGCTGTCTCCAAAGTTGTGAACGTTATTGGACCTTTTCTTCTAATTTTATTGTTTTATGCCATATTTTCTTTCACCTCCAATACCTCTTCTCTAATTGAAACCTATCACTTACAGCTCCTTATATTGATATTCTATATGTGTGTGATGGTGTTTTGTAAGTCAAAATTAGAAATTGCATTATATATATGTATATCTTAATAAAATAAAATGTGAGGAAATTCATTTAAATTTCATAGACTTCGTTATTTTAGAAGGTTTAGCCAATTCCCATTGGGAACCATAAAACAGCTAACGCCCTATCTTCTACTCCATACTATGAGCTAGAGGCAATAAAATTGTAATTGTAACGCACCATTCAGTCCAACCCCAATCTCCTTTCATCTTTGAAGATGCTTTCTTCATTGGTTAAGAAAATCAATTTCTTATTAGAACAAAATAAGTTATCATCAAAATTCCTCCCCTTTCTTCTCTTCCAAACAAGGGATCCTTAAAATCCCTTCCCTCGCTTCCCCTTCTCTACCCTCCTATTTGTAGCTACGCTCTTCTTTTCTCCCCTCCCTTTTCCTTAATTAAAATCTCTCCCATTCCCTTCTTTTTATCAAGCCAAACACATCATTGGTAATTTGTAACAAATAGGTGTTGTTTTTCCTAAAATATCTTTGCTGATCAAGTATATTGACCAAAACTATCATTATTACAAGAACAGTCTTAGAAAAATAAATAAATATAGAGACAAAGTGAATTAGAATCTTATATTAAGATCAAAATAAAAGTCAAATGATCTCTTATATTAAGGATTAAGCTGCAAATTGCCTTAGAAATTTTTGCTCAAGAGCAATGTTGTTTAGGAAGTTGTTTTGGGTTAAAGGTTGTCCCCAAGTATTATAGTGGAGAAATGTTATCCCTTACTGATAAATTTTAACGATCAATGTTAGTTTTTTAACAGTCAGAGGTAATATTGTTATGAATTTAAACTTTTAAAGTGACACCAAACTGGGGGAAAAAAATTTCAAGTACCTTGCGCTCATGAATGAAATTAAAACTTCCCATACAAATTTGAACTTAATCCTTGTTATAATTAGTTAATTTATATCTAACTCCTTTAATATATTCAAATTAATTAATTAAGTAGCTTTTAAAGTAATAAACAATCACATCAGATTTTACAAGTTTACGTCAAGACTCTGAAAAAAATATGTATGTAGTGTTTGGTTGTGGCATGCTTACAGAGTATAATATAGCAGCCAACTCCATATCAGCGCGAAGAGTCCATGCTTGAGCATTATCTCCCTCAGCAATAAGAGAAACCATGGCGGATAACATCGCCACGAAGCCGCATGATATGGTTGCTATCATCATAACCTCAGGGTACTCCTTCATTATCCATGTCTGCATTTATCAAGCTAAGTGCGTTTTAATTTTCAATCAAATCAGAGTTTGATGAAAGGCACAAATCTTTTCAAAGTGGTGGATGCACCTAGTAAAGCGTAATTATAAGCAATAATTATGGAAGGGTAACAATGAAAGCAGTCCCACATGACGAGATTGGGAAAGAAAATTGCAGCTAGCAACCAAAAAATGAAGAACCAAGGACTTAACCCTACCTTGACGTTAAACACGACTGAAAGACAAAAGCTGCCGAGTGCAAGGAGAACGCCCCCTAGAAGCCACTCATCTTGTGGCAAGACGATTGCCTTAGCGTCTTCCAGATTGGAATCTCCACTATTTGCCTCCCCTCGGTACAGGGTCACCATTAACGCTCCTGTAATGGACAACACTGTCCCTATACACTTTGCATGACTGCTCACTTGCCTCATCTCCACTTTTTCATATCTGCAAATAACATAGTCTACCAAACATCTCAATCCAGGTTTCACCCCATTCACTGCACAATAATAAAATTATCTGATATATATCCACAGCTTTTGGATTCTTTGCGTTCATACAAACATAAACTTAAGAACTTATGCTTAAATAATGGTCGTGGCCAGTGAAAGAAACTGCGGCCAAAAGGATGCGGGGTATGATACCTGAAAATGATGGCAAGAAGGAAGGTAAAAGCTGGGGAGAGGTCACCCATGACTGAAGAAAGAACAGGAGAGCTATATCCAATACCGACATATACCATTGTCTGCGCTGCACAACTACCACAAATTCCACTGTTAATCCATTAAGTTTCTCTACAATAATTTCACACATAAACATCAGAATTAAGATTGATATACAAATAAGTAATCAAAACAGAGCCTTTTTCTTCATAAAGGATAATATATATACATGAGCAAGCTGAGAAGAAATATTCTGCAGATGATTGAGAAGGTGATGGGGGGAGAAGGTCGGTTTCTATAATAAAAGAAGGAAGATGGAAGAAGAAGAGAGAAAGCCACGGCGTTTGAATAGACAACGAAAACATAGTCGCTCATCCCTTCGTCGGTGGCTGCTTTGATCAGAGTGTTCAGTCCTACTTCATTCACCTGAACTGCCACCATTAATATTGTTACTTTCAGATCCTCCATTGATCCTCTCCTCTGTTTTTCTCCGTCCCTTCCTCTGCTTCGCTTTCCTGCGTATTGTGCTCTTTCTTTCTACTTTCACACTCTCCCTTTATTTTTTCCGGACTACTCTATCCATCCACTTTGCCCGTTTTCAACGATGGAATCATTTATTCGACATACTTTTTAATGCACTGACATTGTCTGCTTCTTCATGATTCTCTTTGTGATAAATAAATGAATAAAATACACCGCATTAGGACATGCATCCAGTCGTAAGAAGCACTTAAGAAATACCTATAGATCATCTATTAACAAAATTCTCGCGTTAGCAATAAGCTTCAAATTTATGATTTTGTGAATAAATTATATATAAATAAATTATTGTAAAAATATCATGTTGAAACGGATTGAAACTTATTTGAATTATATATTAAAAAGTAAGTTTATATATAAAATAACTAAAAAATTGTTATAAAAATAAAAAGAATTAATGCATCATTAAAAAATTTATAAACACAAAAAAGGATATATTTAATGAACAAAAAATATAAACATATGTAAATATAAAATTTATAAAATAATATTAAAAAAAAAAAAATAAAAACATATTTAAAAATTTATTCTACCTTTTTTTCATGACTGAAATATAAGTATCGGTAAACATAATTTATAAAATAATATTAAAAATTTAAAATATTAACATATTACTCCCTCCATCTCTTTTTATAAGTAATAACTAACTACCATCTCCTCTTGTCCTTAAATATAAGCAATATTTGCAAGTTATTTTAAATTTTTGTAGCAAATTTTTTGTTTTGTTCCCATTAAATTTTTAGTTAATACTCAAAACATCATCTTTCTCTATTACACATTTTCTCTTTTTTATAATTATCTTTATTATAATAATTTTTGAATTCTCTTTTCTCATACTTTCCCTATAAATAAAGGTATTTTTGCGCAAAAATTTTTTATTTCTATTTTTTATTATTTTTAATTAATTTTTTGATTTACATAATGAGATTTAAGGTTGTTTTACAAAAAAAAAACATAGAGGGAGTAAAGAGTTATTCTACTTTTTTTTTTTTGGGAAAATGGCATTAAGGTCCCACACAAGCATAAATACAACAAAAAAATCCCATGAAATCTCATAATATTTCTGAAGTACCAAAGGGACTTGTGTGCAATTTTCAGAATCATCAAATGACACTCTTGCCCTAACTATCCTCTTGCCCTAACTATCATAAACAAAGACGGTGGGTGAGGAGTTTCCCGATCAATATGGTTGAGAGAGAAGACATTGGGAAAGAGGGAAGGAGCCATTAATGATGAAGTATCTTCTCCATTACCATTATTGAACTCCAAAGAGCTTCCATGTGAATCTCCATAGATCTTCAGGTATGGAACTTTCTTTCCTCTCCTCTCCTACCTTTCTTGACAGATTGTGTATTTGTTTGGGAATGAGAAATCAGAAAATCGTTTTTGCCTTTGGTACTGCAAAGCTTTTGTTTTTGGTCTAGGATTCACAAGTTAATCAATAGAGAAGCTGTGTTTTTTGTTGGTGTGTGTTGGTGATTTAGGTTGGGTGTGTAAGATGATCATGGGTGCCCTGTTTTTGGGTTGCTTGTGGGTGGTTTTGCTCTGTTCTGACATTAGTTTAGTGGCAAAGGAAGATGAAGATGAAGGTTAGTGTGGGTAGAAACCCTTAGCATGAAATGAGATATTGTGTTGTCAATCAGGCCGCGATAATTGTCAATGTGTGCCGCAACACTTGTCAATATAGCGCCTTGACTTGTCAATGACAGTTGCGTGATTCTTGATGTAGGTTTAAATTACTGATGGTGAGTACATCTGTAAATCATCTATATTGCTTTGTTCACATAGGGGGAAAATTTATAAATGATAGAAAAGATGATATGAGATATGTGGGAGGTAGTGTAAGAACAACAAATATAAAGGAGGGCACAAGTTATGAAGAATTGAAGAAGATAATATCATCAGTTGTGTTTGTTCAAAAAAACTTTTGTGGAGTTGGTAGATGATGATGGGGTTAGAACATTTGATAAAGTTCAATGAAGAAAGTGGTATGTGTATATAGAAGAGAATGGAAATAAAGACCACATAGAAGCAACAAGGGATAATACACTGGAGGAACAAGATGTGTAAGTTTAGTTTAACAAAACTGTTAATGTCATTTCTTCGTATGTCAGTTGTTACTGTCTTACTACCAACTTGTCAATGTATGCACCTTAACTTGTCATTTCCTGCAGGATTGATCAATCATTTAGAGGTGTCAATGAATGCTTATATCTCCACCTACCTTATCTGATGTGATTGGAGAGCCACCATCAATTCCTTGCGCTGTTGAAATGATCCCAATACTACACCACAAATAAATTGTCTATATCTTCACCTACCTTATCTGATGTTACTTGTCACTGGATGCTCTATTAGTTGTTAGTGGATGCTGTGTTACTTGTCACTGGATGCTCTGTTAGTTGTCACTGGATACTCTGTTAATTGTTAGTGGATGCTGTGTTACTTGTCATTGGATGCTCTGTCCCTTGTCACTGGATGATGTTAGTTAGTGAGTGGATGTTGTGTTTTTAGTCACTGGATGATGTGTACTTGTCACTAGATGCTGTGTTGTTAGTGAAGCCTTTTGATTATATTTTTTTTACAGATGAACTGTTTCCATACGATGTTGCGTGCTATTAAGCCAGAATTGTTTGCCAATGAGGACAAAATTGACAACGAAGTGAAATGGGCTAAAGTTTATGTGCAAAATGATACGTGACTGTAGTTGTTTTGTTCAATTGTATTATGTTGTTTTTGTTCACAATAACAATTGCATGGTACTAACATATTCAATTTCCTTGGCAGTGATTCATGTGGAGTTCATGTTCTCTCTTTGCTACAAGAGTGAGATGGCACTGTTCGTGATGATGCAGGATATACAATGCTATGATACTCCAATGGTGAACTACAAGAGTTGAAGGTTGGTTGTTTGTGGTGGTTGGTTATCCATCCAAATAATGAACATGGAAGTGAAGTGATGTCGATGTTATCGAACTACAACAAGAGCAAAAAGAGGAGATAGAGTAGTCTATTAATTTTTTGTTTTGTTAGCCATGATATGTGTTGTAAGATGATTGGCAAACAGGTCATTTTGTAACAAACTAATCATATTATGTTTATAATATTATTACCTTTGTCATCACATGTTGTAATACTAATTTCTTAGTTTTATTACATTTTTAATTACATTTTTGTTTTATATGTGCAGAGATATTAAGGGACAGAGTTTTATAAAATGTTCTAATTTAATGACAAGTGATATAAGAATTTCATAACAAATGAATATATGGATATTAATAATTGATATTCAAAATTTTCACCACTAAAGGTGTCTATATAAATAATGTTACAATGCTCCATTGACAAGTCATACTGCGAACATTGACAAAGGACAGTTTCTCATTAACAAGTCACAGTGCTCCATTGACAAGTCATAGTGCAATCATTGACAAGGAATAATGTTGTTACTAACAAGTCACAGTGCTCCATTGACAAGTCATAGTGCAACCATCGACAAGGAAGTGTTCTTACTAACAAGTCACAGTGCTCTATTGACAAGTCATAGTGTGACCATGACAAGGGACAGTGTCTTCACTAACAAGTCACAGTGCTCTATTAACAAGTCATTGTGCCATCATTGAGAAGGAACAGTGTTCTCATTAACAAGACACAGAGCTCCATTGACAAGTCAGTGTGTTACTATTGACAAGTCACAGTGCCACCATTGACAGGGGATAGGAAGAGGTAAGTTTTTGCCACTTCATTAATAATGATTATATATGACAATATAACCAAAATATAATATGACATAGTGATTGAAAATATCATTTGATGGTAAAAAAAGGTTATGTTACTTGAATTCATATTGTTGACAATTTACATCAGCAAATTTATTGACAAGTCATAGTGCAATGATTGACAAGTCATAACAGGTCTAATGACAACGCAGGGTGCAGGTAATGACAACTGAATTGACAGCAGAATCTAACATGCCAATTCATAGTCAACTTTCATTTACACCTTCATATACATGAAACTACACCTATTTCACAACCCATTCAAAAAAAACATAGGGGTTGCATGTAATGTCAAAAAAACCAGTGGTGTGTATCTATTTACAAAAAAATTCCTTCACACCCATTTACAAAATATTCTCTTCACATCCATATACAAAAAATAGCTGACTTCAATATGTTCTCAGTTGGGATTTGGGTTCTTGCATGTCTTGTACAATGTTTTTCGGAGAGCAGTGGCATTTGGAAATATTTGTCCTTCTCCAATAATCAAATCCTTCCATTTTGTAAAATTTATTTGTGGTGTAGGTGTTGGGATCATTTCAACAGCACAAGGAATTGATGGTGGCTCTCCAATCACATCAGATAAGGTAGGTGGAGATATAAACAATTCATTGACACCTCCAAATGATTGATTAATCCTGCAGGAAATGACAAGTTAAGGTGCATACATTGACAAGTTGGTAGTAAGACAGTAACAACTGACATACGAAGAAATGACAATAATAGTTTTGTTAAACTAAACTTACACATTTGTTCCTCTAGTGTATTATCCCTTGTTGCTTCTATGTGGTCTTATTTCCATTCTCTTCTACATACACATGACCACTTTCTTCATTGAACTTTATCAAATGTTCTACCCATCATCATCTATAACTCCACAAAAGTTTTTTTAGCAAATACAACTGAGAATTTCAAAAGAAATGAATTTCTTTCTTTTCCAGCAATTGATGATATTATCTCCTTCAATTCTTCATAACTTGTGCCCTCCTTTACATTTGTTGTTCTTACACTACCTCCCACATATCTCATATCATCTTCTCTATTATTTATAAATTTTCCCCCTATGTGAACAAAGCAAAATAGATGCTTTACAGATGTACTCGTCATCAGGAATTTAAACCTGCATCAAGAATCATGCAACTGTCATTGACAAGTCAAGACGCTATATTGACAAGTGCTGCAGCACACATTGACAACTAT